ATCTTTTTAATTTCCTGGCTACTGGTGCTGAGAGTGTTGACTGTGGAGCCAAGCAAACTGAAGCTGTGAACAATCTCAATCTCTTCACCATCCATCCTGATGCTGCCAATTGGCCCAGTGGTGAAAATCTTTGTCTTCTTGATATTGAACCTCAATCCATATTGGAGGCTGCAGTCCTTGACCCTCTCCAGCAAGCGCTTCAGGTCCTCCTCAGTTTCAGCAAGCAGGGTTCTATCATCTGCATATCACAGATTGTTGATAAATCTTCCACCAATCTTGACCCCACATTTCTCCTCATAGAACCCAGCCTCCGGAATAATCTGTTCTGCATACAGGTTGAAAAGGTATGGAGACAGGACACATCCCTGGCGTACGTCTTTCCCAGTTTTGAACCTTGCACCATTGTTAAATCATTTACATTCAAATCATTTGCATTCTTTTCTTGTAGTTGTACAAAAACCGAAACCAGTAACCTGAGCTTTTCTGGTTTTTACCTGGCTTTGTTTTTACTATGCATAGTTGAGAGAGATACATAGTAATTCTATGACAGTATTAAAAGCTATCTTTGATGATTTCAAATGAAAAAGAAACTGGAATAATTTTGTTAAAAGTTTTTAAATCACATTCTCTTATTACTACTACTATATTATTAACTTGTTATTTGAGTAAGTTCACAAATGAAATTCATTTTCTAGTCAACAATTTATACACCTTTGGTTTTGTTATTTTGATTACAGTCCATACATTGCTAGAGCTCTTTTCCTTCTTCCTTTTGGTTCCCTTTTTCATTTATCCTTTGGAAAATGCTTAATTGTTTTAAGAAGTTAAGTCCCTTCCTGGTGTTACAGATCATATTCTAGGTCCATCAGTTATTTGACTGAATGTTGTATCTTTGGGATTCTGTTGGTTTGCTCTCTAGTGTATAATAGCCTCCTTCACCTTTGCATACTGTGTATTTTACGTATCAGCCTGTGTGTTCACTAGTTGAATGTCTCTTACTACTGAAATGCCAGATTGTGCTTCTAATAGTATTTACTTTTATTATCTGTAATTCTTGTGCTTCTCTTCAAGACTTCCTTTTGCTTAATGGTTCAGCATTAATAGTGCTAATCACCTTTTAAATTTTGGAGCTGTCATAATACTTTTTAGTTACCAAAATAATTTTTAATTTGTTCTTTTCTTTCAAGGTAAGCAATATACATTGCTGTTCTAATTAATTGAAGAATAGTTTAAGATTACTCTTTGGGGAATAGTAAATTTTAATATTTTATTTCCCTAATACTGTCCTTATTTAGAAAATTGAAAGTTAGTTGGGACTGGCTATAATAGTCTGCAATAACTGTTTCTTTTAGGTTTTTCTTTCCACTGGGCATTTTCAGAAAATTTCTTAGAACAGATTTTTTTTTTATGCTATCTTTATTTTTTCCTTTTATTCAGAAATCGAAATGAGTTGGCCGAGACTCTTGCTCTCCTAAAAGCACAAATTGATCCTGTACTGTTGAAAAACCCTAGCCAACAGAACAATTCTTCTCGAGAAAGCCCCAGCTTGGAGGATGAGGAAGCTAAGAAAGAGGAAGAAACACCTAAACAAGGTTTTTTGTGTGTTTTGCTTAGCTTTGTTTTGTAGCCTTTTCTCTCTTTATCCTTTTTCCTACTATCTAAATATAAATTCTATTCTATTCCATTTGAAAAGTTTGAGCCTTCCTATAAAAGGAGGTTTATTCTCTTTTATTAAAACAAAAATGTAATAATGCTAATAAACAATCTAATAAAATATTCACATAGAATATTTTAAAATCTGAATGAAAAAGTTTCAGGTCCTCAAAATATCATAGCTTTTACTAACTTAATGGAAATATACTCAAAGGTTTGTTAATAATAACTCATATTGTAAATATGATTTCTTCACTTTGTTTTCTGTTTTATTTAACTAAGCAGTTCAAAACTTGAACTCTCTAGAAGGATAGGATCAAAGTCTAAAGCAGAGCATAAACCAACTGAAAGTTGGCTAGCATCTTTTTACTTCTGATTGGGTTTTGTTTTTTTTTCCTGACAAAGACATATCATAATGATAGGGGAAAGGAATTGTTTGCTTAATCATAGTTTTCATTTTCTTCTACTGCTTTGATTGGAAATGAAAAGTAGTACATTTTCACTTGTTTGATGGTTTGAGAGAATAGTTCATAAATGCATCTCATAAAAAAATGCATCTCATATCTTCAGATGTTAGTTGCAAATAAATAAAAAAGCCTTTTTGTGTCAGATACAATGTTCCTACATATTAAGCATTTCTTTTAGCCGGAATTCTGAGTATGCCTTTATTGTAGCACTGTTTACATGATTTTAAATATTTGTGGTGATTTTATTACCAAAATTTGTAATTTGAAACATTTTTCTGCATGTATTAAAGTTCCATTTGTGAACTTCTCCAGTTAAAGTAAGCCAAACCTGCTGTTGAACTTCCAGAATTTTTCATTTGTTTGTTTTTAATTTGTTTGATTGTTGTTGGGGTTTTTTTGGGTTTTTTTTTTTTTTTTCAATTTTCTTTTTCTTGTTATGTCTGATCCACCTGGCACAGGAGGAGATTCCTCCTACTTCTCCAGCAGAGCAACTGGTGGATTTGAACTGTATATGTTCAGGATTGCAACACAGCTTCTTGCCACTAGGCCACCAGAGCCCCTCTTGATTGATTGTTTTTTGTTTGTTTGTTTGGGTTTTTTTTATATTTTTGTGTGAGTGTACCATCAAATCAGATCTGACTGGTACAGGAGGAGATTGTCCCTCCTTTCCCGGCAGAGCATCTGGTGGATTCGAAGTGTGAGCCTCTGGGATTGTAGTTGCAGCTCCTTGCCACTAGGCCACCAGAGCTCCTCTGATTGATTGTTTTTTAAAGTAAATTTTTTTTTCTCTTCTTCTCCCTGCCTCTTTTTAAACAGTCCCTCCGAAAGGACTATCCACTTAGCATTGTATCCAAAGACAAAATTTGTAGTTGAAAGGAGTTAGAAGTTAGCCTTCGTTACAGACTGGTTAATTTCAGGGTCGAAAATATGGAACGCTTCACGAATTTGCGTGTCATCCTTGCGCAGGGGCCATGCTAATCTTCTCTGTATCGTTCCAATTTTACTATATGTGCTGCCGAAGCGAGCACTAAAGTAAATTTTTTAAGGATAAATTTGCATTGAGGCTTCATATTAGTTATTCTTTAGGTTGTTCACTTTGGTCGTTGATCCCTGAATTTGTTTATCCCCATATATAACTAATATTAAAATCAGAGAGAGAGGATACATTGGAAAAGTGGTCAAAATAATAATTGACACTGAACTTAGAGGAAAATTTTGTTGCATAGTTTAAATTAGTGGGGGTAATCCCCTTGAAACCCCTTGCTACTTCCTCACTAAAAGAAAACCATTCCTATTGTCTGTTAATAAAATTTTTCTGGTTGACCTTACTGTACAAGAGAGGGGGAGTATAACAGCTAATATTACTGTGTTCCTTGCTGTCTGGCATGTATTTGAGTTAACAGATATTATTATTATTTCAATTTTACAGATAGAAAATTTAGAAACTAGCCATAAGTCATACAGGTAGTAAGGTGTCAGAGTTTAGATTTAGACTTTGATACTTCTACAACAAACTCAAACTTTAGTATATGTATTGTTCACCTGTGGCTCTCTTTAAAATGAGAAATATGACTCAGTAGATCTTGGATGGAGCCTTTGATTTCTGTTTCTGTCTATATCATGCTTAAGATATCACACTTTGAATGGCAGGATTGTAGGGATAATCTTTGATTAACTTTTTAGAAACACACATAGCAGAGGTTTTCATAAAGCTGTGAAATTTTCTTGATGGAAACATGGTAAAACATTTGGCATAAATAAAAGGAAGGCAATATATAGATGGAGGATGTCATAGTGAAATAGTAGTGGAGTAAGACATTAAATCCTCTTCATTTTTTTCACATTGCTTCATCCACTTCTCTTGCTCTAACAGAAGCATATTACATTCAGTAGGTTATTGTGCATCTACTATATGTTAAGTGTGATTATAAACATAGTGGTTCAATAAACAGCAGACCAAAATCCGTTTTTCTTGTGAAGTTTACATTATAAGTGGATAAAATAGCTACATAAAGTCTCAAAACTTGCATCATAAGCTGTGAGGTTGAAATTATATATTATTATTCCTTTTTTCAGTTAAGGGAATTGAAACATAACAGAATTTAAGTACTATTCCCAAGGTCTCATAATCAGTTCGTGACAATGTTCAGTGTTCAAACGTAGGCTGTCTCCAGAGTCCGCACAGTTCATACTTTTGAGAGTGCACATAGACTTTTATTCAACCCCTATACCCTTATGTCTTACCCTTTTCTGGTTCCGTGACACAACTAAAGAAATAGGATTTTAGGGAACTCTGGTGGTCTAGTGGCAACAAGTTGCACTACAATCCCAGAGGTGCGCAGTTCAGATCCACCAGATGCTCTGCTGAAGAAGGAGGGTTAATCTCCTCCTGTACCAGACAGATCCGATTTGACGGTACACACACAAAAACTAATAATAAAAAGGAAATAGGATTTTAGTGTTTCACATTTACTTCTCCTAGATAGAAAATGCCCTTTTGGTTGGTGCTAAGAATAGATTGCTGTTTTGAAGCAGTCTTAGAAAATGTGTATTATATTGAGAATAATAAAGGAAAATATGACAAAAACGAAAAATTAAGTGCAGTTGTGTTTGAAAACGAAGCATTAAGAAGAATAAATGAGAATTAGAAAATTAAAAACAAAGCAGCCAGTTATTTTATTTAACATAGCTCATTAGTTAAATTTATATATAATTTAAGATAATTATTTAGCACCTTTTTTTAATGCCAGATGTGCCATAGAAAAAATACATTGCCTATAAAAATAACCCCTATAAGAAAAGGCAGCAAGGAAAGCAGGAAGCAGATGGTGGGCTGGGCAGCGGCTTACTGGTGCAGTCTCCTGGAGGACCGTGGCTACGATGGCAGAGTTCGACCACCTGGAGGGGCACCTGGAGAAGTTTGTGGAGAACATCCAGCAGCTCGGTATCATCGTCAGCGACTTCCAGCCCAGCAGACAGACTGGGCTCAACCAGAAGCTGAATTTCATTGGTACTGGCTTACAGGATATTGATAAGTGCAGACAGCTGCTTTATGATATTATGGTGCCTGTAGAAGTTTTTGAGTGTACAGATCAAGGCCAAACCCCCCAGCTCTACACCAAAGAGTGCCTAGAGCCGGCTCTGGCAAAGAATGAGCAGGTGAAGGGCAAGATCAACATGATGAAGAAATTTTTATTTTTTTTATTTTTTTTTTACCGATAAAGAAATTTAAAAGCCTATTGATTCAGGAACTTTCCAAAGCCTTCCCAGAAGACATGTCCAAGTACCGGAGCATCCGCAGGGAGGACCACCCCCCCCACTTCCTAATGAAGAAGCCAGCCCACGCCTTTCCCATTTGAATGGTTGTAGCAGAGTCTCACTGAGCTGACTGCATTGTCCTGCAGTGGTTGGGCAGCCCAGGTCACAGAGGCCACTCTGACTTGGGGTAGTGTCCCCACACTTGTTTTGCAGAGTCTCACTGAGCTCACCATACTATCCTGCAGTGGGCGGGCAGCCTGGCCCATGGAGGCCACTCTGACCAGGTTAGGATCCCCTCACTGGTTTTGTAGTCGCTTAGCTGCACAGCTCTCGCGCTGTTTGTCTCTCCTTGTCCTTGGGGAACACCCCCCTCTACCAGAGCAGCCCCCTCAGGACACCAGCACTGCCCCCGGTGGTCTCTCAGGCCACCACCTCCAGAAACAGATGGCCTTGTCTTTCTCCTGCTGAGAAGCTGGGGGAGTCGGATTGCCCTCTTTTCATTGGCAGCAGAGTGCATAACCCCCTGTGCCACCGGGCTCCCTGGAACTCTGGGCCCCTAAGACCGTTTTGAAAATAAGAAACATCTCTAAATTAAATGTTTTTAAAAACGTGAAAAAAGAAAAGGCAACAAGTTACCTAGAAAATATAGCAGCTAAATAATTGAATTAACTTTTGCTTTTAAAATCATTAAAATGGCTTTCTGAAAAAGGCCTACATTTCTTAGACTAGCATTCAGGATTCTCAAGTCCCTTACTGTTTCTTTTTGTGGGTATTGATTTCTGATTTTCTGGATGCCTTAATTTCCCCCCCTGTGTCTTAAACATTTATTCACTGTCATGTTGTTTTCTTCTTGAGATTCTTTCCCTTCACTCTGGAAATCCTAGTTTTATACTTTAGTAGCCATTTGTAATCCCATCTTCTTGGTGCCTTTCCTGAGACCACTAGCATTTACTTATACTGTATTTATTTCAGTTGTATTAATGGAAATCCTGCTTCACCCTTGATTTTATTTGGATTTGAAATACTCTTGGATTGTGTAATAACATAGTGGATTAGATTTCAAAACTCTAAAGGCTCCCTGTATCATTTCAGGTAGAGTAGCATGCAATTCAGTATATAAGTATACTTTACATTATACACATGCTCTAATTTAGAAGGGCTAGCAAATGTAAGAAAACTTTTAAGGGATAAATTACAAGTTATGAGAAATCCTAACCTTTAAATCAATGGGGTTTTCTTATTAGTTAGAAAAAACTTGTTCTTTTGTTAGCATCTGTTACTTCTGCCTGCATGTAGAATGATAGGGAGAATTGTTTGAGAATCTGTAGAAAAGACTAGGGGTCTGCTCCTATAAAGATTTACACTTAGGAAGCTATATACGTCAATGCTGCTCTGTCAGGGTTACTATAACTCATAATTGATAGCATACAGCAACAATAGTAAAGAATAGAAATTGCAGATGGGCAGGAGTTCACAAATCTAATTTGACCTGAAAACCTTTCATTTTGGTTTGTACAGTACTGCTTTAAATTTTTTTAAGAAGTACAACTCATCATTTAAGTAATTTCAAAGCATACTATTTAGTGAGTTTTTTTAGTTTATTGACAGTACTGTACAACCACACTATAATCTGATTTGAACATTTCTATCACCTAGAGAAGAAACCTTACTATTTTCCCCATTCTTCCTAGCTCTTAAAACTACTAATTTACACAAGCAATAAATGCTGGTGAGGTTGTGGAGAAACTGGAACCCTTATTCACTGTTGGTTGGAGTGTAAAAGGGTGCAGCCACTATGGAAAAAGCAGTATGGTGCTTTCTCAAAAAGTTGCAAGTAGAAATACCATTTGACCCAGCAATTCCACTACTGGGAATATACACCAAAGAAACCATAACAGCCACCCAAGCAGATGCATGCACACCCATGTTTATTGAGGCTTTGTTCACAATGGCAAAGAGTTGGCAACAACCTAAGTGCCCATCAACAAGTGAATGGATAGAGAAGCTATGGTATATTCACACAATGGAATACTATGCTGCATCGAAAAAGAAGGAACTCATGCAATATTATTCAAAATGGGTGAGCCTGGAGGATCATTATGCTGAGTGAAATATCTCAGTCACAAAAGGACAAATACTGCATACTGCCACTGTTGTAAAACAGGACTGACCTCAAGGTTGGGGGAAAACTGAGAAAGATAGGATAAATAATGTACTGCATTGAAACAAATGAGGGAGAAAACTGTTTAAAAGGGATATGTGAGTAGGTATTTTTGTCATGACAGGAGTCCAGAACAAAGGCTGTATAGTGGAGTGGACCTGGGGGAGGGATTGTATAACAATGGAAGAATTTTTCTTTTACTTTTCTAAGAGAAGAGTGAACTGGGGAGGGGACGGGTGGGCAGGGCGAAAAGTGCAACAATGAATGAATGGGAATCCAAAGTTTCTGTTTTCATTAAAATCAATAGTAATAATAAAAAATTTTTTAAAACTACTGTAAATTTGTGAGTTTAGGGGGTTGTGTATTCTGGAGATTGAATAGAAATGAAATAATACAATACTTTCTTAACTATTTTTTTGTTTTTTAAGTATATGAGGTCTTAGTGACTGGTTAGTTTACTTAGGATGTTTTCAAGGTTTACACATTTTGTAGTTAGTGTGTATCAGTTTTTCAGTTCTTCTTATAGCTAAATATTCCATTTTATAGATAATACCATATTTTACTTATCCATTTACCTGTTGATGAATGGACATTTTACTTCCATACTTTGGTTATTCTGAATAATGATACTGTGAACAAGTTTTTATGTCAACATATTTTCATGTCCATCATTTTTAGAAATATAAAATTGCTGTCAACTTTAAAAATTGGAGATATTTCACATAAAAATATGGATTTCCTCTTTCTCATTAAAAAAAATGAGATTTGGCAGCAGTGTGTACCGGCTGAGTAATGAAATGATGACCCTGTTAGGTGGGGCTCACACTCCTCAGGTTACAATGAAACCACAAGACAAACCTGTTGCCATCAAATCATTTCCTAATTCTAGAGACTCTGTAAGACTCCAAGGCTCTAAGTCTTTACAGAGCAGACTGCTAAATTATTTTTCCTGTGGAATGAGTGGCTAAGTTCAAACCACTAACCTTTTAGTTATCAGCCAAGTGTTTAATACTTGTAACACTAGAGCTCTTCAATTTACCATAGTTCCCTTTTATAGTCCGTAAAATTAGACTTTGTCTCAGTTATAAAAGTTAACCTTGTTTTTGTTTTTCTTATAGAAAATATTGGTTACTTATGTCTCTGTCAAATATGGAGGAAAACCCTTTGCTTTGAATTTTAAGCAAAATAGAATAGAGGAGATAATTTTTTTGCAGAAACAAAAAATACTTGTACAATTATAGTAGTAAGATAACTCCCTTGGCCATATCTTCTATAAAGCTTGAATTCATATGGCAGAGTAATACAGTATATTGTGCTGTATTGTTAATTGTAATAGAGAATTTATTGTAAAAACGCTGATGAGTAATGTAAAGATGCCTGATAAGAAAGTGGAGGGAGATGAGATTAAGACAGAAAGTTCAAAGAAATTTATTTTTGAAAACTGATGTGCATTTATGTTCTTAAGAGGAAAACCTTAAATGAATATCAGCTTTATTTGATACTGAGTTTGAGTGCAACAAAAAGTATTATTTACTACTCAAGTTAAAAGGACCACTTAAAAATAGAAGTACAGTGGAAATACTCTTTCTCAAAGTATGAACAAAACGGAGAACAAATGGAACAGGTAGTTAAATGACTTAACTAGAGACAGCTTGGGTATGATTCCTTGGCAGGCTGATTTCCAGGAAATTCCCATTTTTGTGTGTTTTTTAGTATATAGATTTGTCAGTCTTTGAAAATGTAATCTACACATGAGTTACTTTTAGCCACAGTAAAGATACTTTATACAAACTTTAAATTCAAGATGGTAACAGTACTTAAGTCACTTTATTTCCTCATTAAGTAGGAGTTTTGTACAAAGAAAGTTAAAGATGAAACATCCAAAATCCATGGCATGATAATTATCTTTATAAACTAGCTAAGTGTTCAAAATTAATCATAATTAGGTCACCACCAGTTTCACACATAAACTATATAATAGTCTGTTGTATTATGAGTTTTTATGAATGGCATTTTTTCATAGGTTCAACATTCAAATTCACAGATATGCTGTAGACCACATTTGGCATCAGTGTGCTAAAAATCAATGTGAGACAAGTTCTGGATTGCTGACAGGAACAACAGCTGGTATTTCTGTCTTAAGGAGTAATTCTTGCAGCAGTTCATATGGCCTTCCAGGAGCTATCTTCTCAAGTGACAACTTTAGAAGCAGGTAGATGGGATTCACATTGGATGGGTGCAGGAGCCACTTTATCTTAAAAGTCTTATGTTCCACATGGCTCTTATCTCTTATAATAGTTCTACACATAATTTTCCTGGATTCTCATGGCTAAAATAGGAGTCCTCGCTTTCAGGAGGATCCCAATATAGCATCTCCATCATGTGTTTTAGTACGTATGCTGCCAGAGTAAACACACTTTGAAACATATCTTTTAGATAGTTCTTTGAGAGATATGGTGGTTAAGGCGTTGTGCTTCCAACTCAAAGGCAGGTGATTAAAATCCACCACCTACTCCGAAGGAGAAAGATGAGCAGTCTCCTCCCATGTGTCTTAAAGCCTTGGAAACCTGCTGCAGGGTCACCTGTGAGTTGGCTCTGACTCAGCAGCAGCAAGTTGATGTTGAATCCAGATGCAGGGGAGCTCTGGTGGAATAGTCTGTAGGGAGGTCTACTGCTAATCCAAAGGTGATGCCTCTCTACCAGTTCAAATCCACCAGTGACTCTTTAGACAAAAATACCTTCTCTCTGGGAATGTCCCATGGTTTGAACCTGCCAGCTTCTCCCAAGAAGGAAAGATGGACGTCTCTTCCTGTGTGTTATAGCCTCCAAAAACCCAGTGGAGAGTTGGTCAGCCATGAATTGGTTTTGACTTGATGGCAGTGAGAGTGTGAGTATATCAGTTAGGCTCATTTTTATTAAAAGCATCATTGCCTAGTAGCC